CACTGAGAGGATGTGGGCAGCAGATAGAGCCATCCACTCCTAGGCCTATGCCCAAAGCCCTCCGAGAGCTGGCAGCCTGCTAGGAAAAAAACCAAAAAAAAGTGTTAGGAGAGGCTCTCTGGGCTCTCTGGGAGGGCTGGCTGTGCTGTTCACAGTGGCATATGGCAGGGTGACGTAGGAGAGAGATATTCCCAAACCTCTCAAAGCCTAGAAGGAAGCCTATGGCCCGTCTCCCTTCCTGAGCAGGTCCTGCTCAGAGGACTAGAAAGTACCCCACATTTGTGGCCTGAGGACCACTCTCTCCCTCACAAGTCATGGCATTCTGTCCATACCAATTTGTCCAGGGTTGTACACAGGTTTGTCTGTCTGGATAAAAGTCTTCTTCTCTCCGTGCTTGATGAGGACTTTCTGTTTCTTCTGGAACTCTGAGTTGGCTTCCATGACTGTGATAACAACAAAAGCCACTTCATCAGGGTTTCCAGCAGGAGGAGGGACCTGCAGGTATAGTTATAACCATCATTCAGGGTGGTTCCCATTCAGTGATCCCAAGATTTTTGGAATAACAATTATGATATCGCTTTTGGGTTGCTCTAGCTCTTCTTGCCCAGAAAGACTTCACAGAGCATTTCGAAAAGTTTTCTAGAAGGGTAAAATATTAGTGGGGCTACATAGCAGGAAGGACCATAAGACCTATGCAGGCTTAAGCAGAAGATTTACTGGCCAATTAAGATGTCCTCATGGGAAGACACAATTCTTTGCATTCCAGTCCAGCAAGAGCAGAAGTCACGCAATATCCACTCTAGTGAGAACCCTTGAAAGTATCTTCCTCACCTGGAAGCTTGTGCAATGGAAGAAGGGGAACTGAGAGATGGACTGAGTGATCAGAGTCTCATTCCCAGCTCTGCTTTGCAAGGTGACCGACACATGGATCGGGACTGCTTGCTCTCTGCTGAGCTGGAGACACACTGTCTCTGAGAAGGGGTAGTAGAGCTGAGATGGTATTGCCACAGCATAGTTGGAAAAGGAAAAGGAAAAGGAAAAGGAAAAGGAAAAGGAAAAGGAAAAGGAAAAGGAAAAGGAAAAGGAAAAGGAAAAGGAACGTCAGGTTAAACTGATTTCCTAAGAGGGCAGGTTTTGACCTGTATTTAGGTACTTCCTAACAGACCTCTGGTGTCTTCATTCCACAGTCATGACACCAGTGGGACATGATCCTGTTCTCATCTATGGGTACTGCAGACACTGACAGTGAGGCAGCACTATATGCTCATGCACATATAAAATTATAAAGTCACTGCCTTACAAATTGAAAGTGAAAATAAGGTGAAGGGACCTCCCCACATCACCCAAGGGATCAGCAGCAGCTTGGCTCTCTTGCAGGTTTCCCAAGTCTTTAACATTTTCACTGAACCACTCTACATTATCACCCTCAGTTTTGTTGGCTGGTTTTCCTACTACTCTTGGGCTCAGAAACAGTGCCCTATGTGAGGGACCCAGTATCCCAGCTCCATGACCCAGCCACAGAGACTGCCGAGCACCTTCACTTCAGCTCCTGACACTCTTGTCCTCTTTGCTCTCTACTTGCTCTCCCATCTCTGCATCTACTCTGAGCTGCATCCGCAACACCAAAAATCTGTTCACAATTTGTTTGTTTTCATCTTTTACTGTACTGTAGCACCTAGGACCAACAAAAAGCCAACATTCAAGCAGATTTCAAAATTCTTATTGCTGTCTCCTCCCACTCACTGCCTCTGGTCAGGCTCAGCCAGCAGCATGTTTTGCAGGAAGCAGAGGGCAGGGCCTGGAAAGATCAGAAAAGCAGGAGGAACTGCTGGCAGTTCTCAGCTGGAGCTCAGCTCTCTGGCGAGAGGGAATCAAAGTCCTGCTGGCTGGGAGCCTTTGACTGCTGTCACACTTGAGTGCTGCCAAGCTGCTGTGAGGATCTCAAAACACATCTCAACAACATTTTGTTTTTCCTACTTGAGCTGACTCATGGCACCTCCCTCCTGCCACTTGTGCCAAAGGATGGGATGAACACTAAAAATTCACTATTTGAAACCTCCAATATCTTCCTTGCTCTTAATGATCCTTTACTCTGGAACATTTTCTTACACCCCTTTAAAAATTCATCCCTTGCCTTCTGAGCTATAAAAGTAAGAAAGAACATCTCTGGGGCTGTTATCCAAGGGTCTCAAGATCCAAGCTGGATCATGAATCTATGGAAAAAAATTGGAATACAGGCAGGACAGCAAATAACTTATTGAAGCAAGTGGTGTTTCCAAAAAGCAAAGCTTCATGCTGAAGGTAACAGTGGCAAACAGACAGCAGTAAAGCCCATCCTTTTTGTGGGAGCTTGCCAGCCTATGGAACATGTCCTAGAAGAAATACTCCCACTGGAGAAGTTTTTTAAAACAAGGCATGGGCAGACCATGCCACATGCAGCAGGAGGGAACCCAGCTACAACCCACTGCCATATTTTTCACTGTAACATCTACTGTACATGCACAGTCATGCTTCTCTTTGCACTTGTGCCATGGCCGCAAAAGCAAATGCCTTCAAAAAAGCAAGAACAAGTTTAGAAGCCAGGATATCACAGCAGTGCCTGCTGGAACAGGAGTTGCATTCCTGACAAAGTATATGAAGAGAAGCTGTGTTGGGAATTGTCCTTGACAGAGGTCTGAGAAAAGGCGTGGTGGGAGCAGATGGCCAGCCAAGCCTGAGCGAACACACTGCTTCACCAAGAGCATCCCTACCAGATGTATTTGGGCTCATGTTTGCTCACTCTGTGAAGACAATCAGCTTTGCCGGCTAAAATATTAAATGGTGGTCTATGACTCTGGGAAGAAGAGCTTAGTCCAAAGGAAGCATATTCTGGAACACAGTAGGAGACATGAGATATTGGCAGGTCAGAATTAAGCACATGCAGAAAGCTGGCAGTGCTGTTCTGCCCGAGTCCTTGCTGAAATACATGGTCTACATCAAAGGCACTAAAGGAAGAGCCAATTATCAGGGGGAATGTGGGGAAAGGGCACACGGAAACCAAGAGAAACCTTGGGAACATGAGAAATTATGCCTCTCTGGAAAAACACTCCTCACCTTAAGACTTCTATCCCATTTCTGTCATGCTGCCACCCCCCGCCAGGATCCCATACAAACCAGAGCACATTTGCAAAGCAGTGAAGTTCTTACAGCATTGCAGGCATTCCAGCCGTGCTAGGCAGGAGAAGGATGCAGCCCCACAGGAAAATGATCCTCCACATAGCTGATTGCAGGTTGAATTCCTCCAAGGAAAGCTTAGCCACTCCTCAGTACCCAGTTCTCCCCTGCTCCTGCTGGCTTCCTTCTCCCCCTCATCCAGAGCCGAAGGAGCACGCAACTCCTGCCCTGACTAGACGCCTGTTCCACCCTTGGCTTCAAAACCAAGGTGGAGATCAGGCTGCTGGTGGCTGGAATGTGGGCGGGAGAAAGGGGTGGCGACAGTGTTTACTGCCTACAAACCAGAGGCAGCTGCTTCCAGACTTTGTAAGGCTTGTTGGTGTTTCTCTGGGAGAGGGCTTGCCTGCACAGCTTCTGGCAGCAGGAGTACTTAGTTACTGTATTTGGTACAGGGACCTAATTTTTTTTAAAAAAATTCCCAATTTTTTACTGGGATGTCATCAGAAATATTTGGGTAGAAGTTAATTCTTTGTGATGTTAGTGGGTTTTTTCTCCGTGGTTCTTCTTCTGCAGAACTTCTTAGGTAGTATTTGCTTCTTACTGAAATTTCAGTCCTAACCTGCAGCCTCCAGCTGGACCAGCCCGGGGCTTCACATGCAGCTCTGCCAGTGTTCCCCTTCTTCCCTGGAGCAAGGGAAGAACTTTAACATTTTATTGTCTTTTGGTTGTCTTTCTGTTTTTTGTCTCGCTAGTTTAGACTTGAACTCAAACCCCATTTTAATTTTGGAGGCTCAAATATGCTTCCAGATCAGTGACATACAGTGCTTTAAACCTGAGGTTTATCTGCAGTGTCAGTCTAGGTTAAAGGCTGGAGTGTCCCTGTTACATCAGACTGTGGTCTAAGAGAGTGGGTGCTAAGCACACAGACGGGGACTGTGCCAAAATAAATCCAGGGGATTGCTTCAGCTGGGAGCAGGGCATGGGTGGATGGCAAATTGTCTCTGTGCTTGTGTACCTTGGGTTGTGCTCTGCTAACACACAGCAGGGGCCAGGACAGAATGAGGACGTCCACCTTCAAGTGAGGTTGTAACTAGGGGGCAAATTCATCCAAGCACTTCACTGCTGCCCCTCAGGAGATAGAAACACAAAGGTGCAGTGCCTGGGAAGAGTCTGGAGGAGATGGGTGGTGGTGTCAGCACAGAATCACCTAATGCCTGAGGGAATCTGTCAGAAGACTGGGCATCCAGCTTGGGCACATGTAAAGTAGAGATTTGATAAAATATGTGTGGACTTAAAATGCCATGATTTATTTAGAAAGGCCTAACAGTGGGACTATGAGAGGAGTTGGCATAGGTAGCAGGAACTGCCCTGGAAAAGGTTCTGTACCGAGGAGGATCAGACATGGCTGGGATGGACAGGTGAACAGAGGTAGTGATGCTCGGAATGGAGATGATTTGAAAGGTTTTTACTTGCTTGGAGTAAGGACTGGATGAGGGAGAGATCACTAATGTTGCTTTTTACAAGCTGAGGACAGCAGCTAATGTGCACATTTGTCTCTCACCAGATGCAACAGCCAGGATCCAGACCAACCACAGGTGAGATGAGACTCTCACAAGTCCCCTTCAGCCTGAGTTAGAGATATGTATTTCCACATATCCCTTTTCAGTGTCCTGGTACCCTCGGCCTGGAATACCACCTGAATGTAAATGTGGATGGAGAACTGTGCTGTGTGACCTTCACTCTGCTGTTGGTGGGAGCAAGTAAATATTAGCTAATGTCATCAGCCTAGAAAAGATATTATCTCCATATATTAACTCCCCTACTCTTTGAACCTAGGAGTACCTGAGGGGGTATTTAGGACTGCTCCAACCCATCAGTACCTGCAGCTCTCTCCTCCAGCGTGGATCTTGTCAGCTGTCTGTCCCAGCCCAAGCAATGGGAGCACCACTGCTCCTCTTAGCCCTGACCCTATTCCCAGTTGCAGCTGCAGAAAGCCTGGAACCGTGAGAATTTCTCCTTTTGATTTTGGGGGGCTTGGTGGAAGGGCCTGTTGTTGAAGGGTGGTGCTGAGGGGCTGCATTCTTTGGCATCACAGGGCTGGATGGCGGGGGCCTGGCTCCCAGGGAGGCTGAGCAGAAGCAGCTCCTGCAGAGTCCTGGGCATTGAGCACTGCTGCAGGGGCAGCCCCTGGTGTTGGCTTGTGCAGGAACAGCACTGCACACACCACAAAGCTACAGAGGCCACAGGAGTTTTGCCTCTCTTCATGCTGTGCTGGTGGGGGTGAAGTCTGGTGTGAAGACAGAAGCCTTATGCCTCAGCCATTGAATGCTTGGCTTCTTTGGCTTCCTCACACAGCCTTGCTCTGTGTGCTTGCAACTGGGAGTATCGTAGACTGGGCACCTGTGTCCTGGCTGGTGGCAGGGTGGTGACACAGAGAAATTGGGAGCTCTCTATACTGGACAAATTCCTCCTTGCTTGTTTAGAAAGGAGCTTAAAAGTGCTAAACTTCCTTCAACGCAATCCTCCAGATATTTCTCACCCTTGGTCTACCTCTTCATGAAAGCATTCTGGCCTGTCCACCTCAGCCTCTGACTTGTTTTTGAACATGGACTGTTCACTTCTAGTCACTACATGGTGGTGTTCCCTGCTATCATTCAGCAGTCCCACGAGGAGAAGCTCTACATTCACCTCAGCTCCCTAGCTGAGGCCGTCCACCTGGCCATCACCTTGCAGACAGAAACCCAGAATCACACCCTGGTGGAGCAGGATGTGGAGAAGCCAGGCACTTTTCAGAGCATCACCTTCCAGGTGAGTGTAGATGTGGCTACTGATTTGACAGTGGATGCTTTCATGCTCACACAAGAGCATGGCACTTCTCTGGGTACACTGTCCTTTTCCTTGCCATAGGTTCCAAGCAGGCCAAGTATATTTCCCTACCAGTGCTAGGCAAAATACAATGGTGTTCTGGAGTCTAAGGTAGTAGAGAATCTTTCCTGGGCAGAAAAAAATCTGCTCATTTGATCTGTGTCAGCACATTTCATCCCACTTGAAGCGTGGTGTTAAACATTTATTTTCAATTTACTCATGGTTTTGTCCCTAAAAGTGCTTATATATCACAGCAAAAGTCAATGCATTGGGAATACATTATTTTCATCCTTGTTTCCTCAGGAGCCTGCCCCTTCAGCTCTAAGAGTACCGTTCTGCTCCAAAGCTGCATCTACATTGCCAGATGTAGTTGCAACCTGCATAGACATTGAGCTTGCTTTAATTTAGCTGTGATGGCACTGAACGCACGATGAACTGAATTTCACCGAGGCAGTCTGGATATTTCTGGAGTGGCTCGAGTTCCTGTCATTGCTAACTGCTGTAGTTAGCTTATCTAGACACACAGAACCTTCAGCTATGTTTCTGGAGAGCCATGGAGATGTGTGTGGTGCTGAGGCTCTACAAACTGCCCCGTCTTCCTCAGCACTGCACAAAGTCACTGTGCCTGTGCCCTGATTGCCCTGCAGATTCAGCAGAATTCAAGGAGGGGCTGTAGTCACTTTTGGTTTTTACATCAACATGACAATGATTAACTAAGAGTTTGGTGCCAGCCCTTAGGAGAGAGCGAGTCCTGGTTCTGGAAAGCCAAGGAAGTTCTGCTGCTAGTAAAAAATTAAAAACCACCAAAGAAATCTTTCTCTTGCAGAGCTCAGTCTTTCTGATGCTGAGATGTCCTGTGTTAGCCTCATCGGTATCCCATCTCCCATTACTCCAGATCTGGCTTTCCTATGGTTTTACTTAGCTCCATAAAACTCTCACATTTATGTTAAGTGGGAGAATGACATGTTGGTCAGTTCATTGTTAAGCTCATGAACAAGTGACTGCTTCTCCCTAGAATCACAAGTGGGTTACAGAGTCATACAGAAGAATTTGGATGGAAGTTTGGGGATTTTTTTAAAGTGAGATAATGCTGTATACCTGTGATGAGATGCAAAGTTTCTGATGAATTTATTTTCCATTTCCTTGTGTCAATCAACCTAGGTGCCAGACCTCATGTTAATTCCCATGAAAAGAGATTATTCCAGGACACAGGTAGGATATATCTCTTGTCTTCCTCTCCTCTTACAAATTAGAGGGCTTCAGCCTCTCCTGTGCCTGAGCCATGTTAATGATGGAGATGTAGGGTGGGAAAGATAGGAAAGAGGAAAAAGAAATGTGCAAAGAGGCAAACATGACAAGCAGAAAGGCAAAGAGAAGAGAATAAAGAAGCTGGACAACAGAAAGAAGACTATGATTGGGAGAGACTTAAATCACATGAGATGAAAGGAGGAAGGGACATTGGAGATTTTGGAAGGACAGGTGCCTCTGGTTCTCTTTGAAGCTCTTTGGTAGTCTGAGGTAATTTGTTTCTTTTTTTAACCTGACAGTCAGAGGAGGTGGCTTTTCTGCATGTCCTTATCCACAGTGGAGACAATGTGCTCCTTGAGGGTCACAAGAAAGTTCTGGTCAAGCCCCAGAAGAATATAATTCTGATAGAGACAGACAAGGGCTTATACAAACCTGGAGAAACAGGTAAGGCAAGAAACTGGCATATGGAAATGGGGAGGGAAGGGTCAAGACAGCAGCCACACCTGAAGGGAAGATTTCACCAAGTGCAGCAAGCTAAGGTTGTTTGAGATGGAAGGAAGCAAATCTCTATTATCCAGTGTTTCTAGGAACAGTCTGAGAGAGAATGTTCCCCTCCAAGGTGTGCCACACCAAGTTCCCAGCCTGCTGCCCCTGGGTGCTGTTTTGGTGTCATATCTCTAGTGAGACCTAAAGAGAAAGCCAGGACTCTGCAGGACAATGGACAGCCTTGAAGGCTGTTGTTCATATTTGAGTAAAACCTAGAGTGTCAGTTCCAAGCTGTAGAATTACAGAGTCCTCACAGTCTTCACCATATGAGTGGACTGCAGACAGACCCCACTATAGACAACCCCAGTGTTTACTCTAACTTTGTAACCTGTCTTGGTAAAAGCACTGTGTTTCTGCAGCACACAGCTGTGTATAGGCCTCCCTGACAAAGCCTTAGGGTGGGAGATGCTGTGGAGGGCTGTTTGGGAAAAGACCTGAGTACCTCTGAGGTAAAGAGAGAGGCATGAATACTGGGGCATAGGAAAGAAGAAGCAGGTTTGTGCAAGGACATGTTGCAGCCAGAATGCTTTACTATGTTTTTCTTTTTATCTACAGTGAAATTTCGAATTGTGAACCTTGATGAGAACCTTAAGGTCCTCAAAAATGAGGTGAGTATCACCTTGTGCCTTTCTAGAAGTAGGAGCTTCAGCATGAGATACATTGAGAGTCTGATGAGAAAGATATCTCCCTTCATGCCTGCTAAACCATAAGAATAAATTATCTTAGGAGGAAACCACTCAACCACTGGTCCTTCGGAGAAAGACCAGCGTAAGCTGACACAGAGGGAAGAGGAGAAGTACTGTGGGGCCTGGGTGGGGCAGAAATTTCTTCTCAGAGACCCATGTCAGCAGAGTTCTTTATACTGGTTCACATGGATGCTGTTTTACAAAACTAAGATTGTGTTTCTCTTGTTTTTACAGTATTCCCAGATATGGCTACAGGTAAGTGACTAAGAAGTGACCAAAGGGATGTATATCTGTCTCTTCTACTGTGATCTTTCGCTCCCAGAGTTGTGCCACAAATGTAACTTCATGAAGTTATGGTTATAGTTCAGATTCAGCCAAAGGTTTTTCCATGGTCAGCCTGGGCTTTTCTCACACCAATACCCCTGTGGTGCACATAGCTCACCAAAAGACAAGGCAGCACCCAGTCTTTGCCCAGCACCCTGGCTGCACAGAGCACAGCGACAGGCGCTCAAGAGAGGCAGCACAGCTGCTTCTCCTTCCCATGCTGTTATGATGTTGCCACTTCCCGGTAGCTTTACTGTTCTTGGCAGCCTTTGTAGTTCAAAGTTTATTAAAATAATACTGTAGGGAAGTAAAGGTCTCTCTCCTGGTGATCTGGAGTCCTCTCTACTGGGTCAAGTTTGAGCCCTTGTAGTGACTTCTCATGCATGAGCATGGCTGGACCTGCCAGGTACATGGGCTCCCAACGTGACTTGTGGCTCTGCGTGTCCTTTCCCAAATAGGATCCTGAATACAACCGTGTTGCTGAGTGGCTGAATGTAAGGTCAAATCATGGCATTGTGGATCTGTCTTTCCCCCTGGCATCTGAAGCATCCCTTGGGAAATATACCATCTCAGTGCAGCAGGGCATGGCTCAAAAAACCTTCCGTGTTGAGGAATATGGTGAGACTCCGGCGTCAGAGGGGAGGGAAAAGCAGTGTGGGTAGCTGGAGGAGTGATGCAGCTGTGTTCATCCCACCTTTTGCCTCAGGAGAACAAGAGAATGGGGACATGGATGGGTCTGTGTGCACACCTCACATGGGGCAGGGGGTTCTGCAGCTGCAAAGGAGAGGCTGTGGGCTGACATCTCACTCTACCTGCATCTGAGCCCTGTAATGAGCACATTCTGCTGCTCATTGTCACCCCTTTTCTGGGATAGGCTTGTCATCCACTCCAGTCAGCTGCCACAATGGGAAGTGTAATTACGTCTTAGTCCTGCTAATTGGCATTGGTAAAGACAAAACCCTGTGCCATTTAAGTGTTAAACTTGTCTGAGTAGAAAGTCCCATGTGCAATTTCAGCAGCAAATACAGGGTGCTGTGGCTGGAGGGAGTAACTTGATTGCAGTGTGGTGATGAAGAACTGGGGACTTCACTGTCTTTCCCTTATCTGGACTGCAGCTATAACACAACTTCTGACAGTGTCCCTACTCATCCACACCATCCATTGGTTTTTTCCTCCATCCTTATCTTACTGTCTTCCAAACAGTGCTGAAAAAATTTGAGATGAAAATTGAGCACCCTCCACATATCACTACAGCTGATGAGGAATTTCAGCTGGTTGTCTGTGGCAAGTGAGTACATGATACCATTGTGATCTCTGCTCTTTGACTCCACTGTCACCTCCAGATTTCTCATAAAAAGTAAGTGGTCTTCCATTTGTCAGTATGATCTTTTTTGCGTTTCCCTGTGTCTTCGGGAGACAGACCACTCACTGGAATGGGCTCCTTTTCACACCTGGTCACTTACTGTGAGGCTGAAGGGACACTGAAGATTCTGGGTACAGTGGGTGGAGAGGGATGCAGAATGATTTTAAAGGATGAGCTAAAGTTCCTGAGCAAACAAGGTACAAAGCAAAGCTCTCTAGGCTCTACTACCCCTGATGAGGATGGGAGGTGTCCTATATCAATATTTCTGCTGACGGTCAGCAGACTGTCTTTTGGTGAATGTTTCTCTCTTTTGACATAGGTATACTTATGGGAAGCCTGTTCAAGGGAAAGTAAACATTACTGTTGTGACACCGTCCCAGGCCATGGGAGACGGTATTACAAGTTCAGCGATTCAGAAGCAAAACAGCTGGGTAGGTGAACAAATAGGAGATCAAAAAGTATCATGTGCTGGAAATGTGTTTCTGCCCCCTTAACCTGCCTCAATGCACCTCACTTGGGCACCAACCTGTTCAGTCTGGTGTCTTCCCGGTTGTGGACATGATCAAATCATTGATTCCTCTTCCCATAACCCTGTTGCTTGAATTACTGCTCTGGCTGAACATCCCTGACTCCGTGCTTCGGGAGAAGGTGTAAGGTATGGGAAGCAGTGGTGCCTGGGACCTTTTCCAAGGGTCTGTATCATCTTGTAGGCAACCAGAGCACCCATCAGATGGGGCTATTCAACCCTGTGACCACTCCCACCAATAAGCAGGCTATCAGAGCATCACATGGGCTGTGGATCCCTGCCCTGTTTCTTGATCTATCCCTGCACAATGGGTCATCTTAAGCTTGCTAGTGTCTGGTCTGAAATTATGTCCATTGCTGGTTACACTTTCTTCTCATCTGTGTTCATTACATTTTTTGTGGTTAGGCTTCACATTTGTTTTTTTCCCACGGGTTTCAGATGCAGCTCTTTTGGCCTGAGAGCCACAGGAAAACATTTCTAAATGTCAGACCAGCCAGCAATGAGCCAGAATATAAAAATCTAGCTGGATCTCTGCATCTTTTAAAATTCACTCCAGCTGGAATGCTGTGCAAAACACCAGCTGAATGCCAGCTCCACATGGCATGTAAGAGCCCCTGAAAGGTTCTGAGGAGCACTTCACAGGCATGGCTAGAAACACTGGCTATACCCAGGCTCTGCCTCAATGATTGGCAGAGCTCTTGCCATCTGTACCTGGCAGGGTGCCTGTGTTTAATATGGCCATGTCACAGCAATGGTTGTGTCTGGAAAGCCACACTGTCAGGCTTTATTCATCAGGGCCATAGCATTTCAGAGGGACCTTTGGCTCACATAATGAAATTCACACTCTCTCAGCTACAGGATTTGGGCTGAATTCAGCCTCCTGAGTGTCTCTGTGACATAATTAACCCTTATGTGATTTGCCTTAAGTGCCTTTTTTCTTTTTTTTTTTTTGCCACTTTTTTTTTGTGGCTGTTTAATCCAAGCATATTGATTTTCTTTTCTGCCTAAGCTATCCATGATAGGTTTCAGCATTTTCGATTTGGGAGTTTTCTTCTGTTCCAAAAATATATGGAAATTCTTCTTTAGGATTGCCTGACATCTATGGAACAGTTTGTCTTCTTTCACATCACACTCCTTTCTGTTCTCCTCTCTGTCTGCAGACAAATAAGGATGGCTGCACTACTTTCACAATGAAGACAGAAGCTCTGGAAATAAATGAAGCTGACATACACATAATTGCAGTAGGAGAAATGGTGGAAAACGGAACAGGTACTGGATAATATGCAGATCATTCTCTTCTTCACAGGCAACATTTTTGGTTTTGGTCTTTCTGTGGCAGTGGAATTTCTTTTGAAAAAACATCTTGATAGTTCCCAAATCTTTTGTCATGGTAATAGTCTCTGTTCTAGTACCTCATCCATCTGTTTTCACCAGATTTCCTAATCCTCTCCACCGTTCACCTCCCTTTGCATGTGTATAACATTTTAGTGATTGCCTGGACACCAGGGTGTTCCCAGCCAGTTGCAAAGCACTGGACTGTTTATAACTGAACAATCATCTAGTTTCCCTTTATCTTCAAAAAGCCATAAATGAATAAACATATAAATAAATACTTATAGGCTATGATGCATCATGTCATGAAGCAGGAAGCCCAGAAAGCTTGAGGGAATCATATCCTAGAAGAATGTATTTTCTCTCTTAAATTCAGAACTTTTCAATGTTGTAGGTAGTGTTGAGGTGGCTTCTTTTCTTCTTCTTCTTCCCTAAAAGCACTGCTTCAGGTTCAACCAATTTTTCATCTCCCCACCCAGGAGCCCATTCTATGGAAACTGCTTTAATTCCTGTTGCAACGACAATGAAATCTGTAGAGTTTATCAACCTCCATCCATTCTACAAACGTGGGATACCATACACAGGGAAGGTAACACTCATGTATCCCTTCTCTGCTGAGAATGCATCACAGATATAACTTTTTGTAGGAAGAAAGGAACAGTCTCTTGAACTCACTCCTAGAAAGTGAACGCTGTTCTGCTGGCACCCAGAGACTAGGAGTGAAGCGTCCTGCAGAAGAAGTTTTTTCTCCCCATCCTAACATAGTATATTTCCTGGACTGGAATTCTGGGGCCAGCTGCAGTTTCTGGAGGCTTCCCCAGGAGCATCTCCTGAAAGCAGTCTGTGCATATGGGATGGGGGTGGCGTCAGCAGGCACATAACATTCCCTTTGAATGAAAGCTGATGGTAACTTGGCAGAAATCTCTAAAGCCTTGCATATCAGTTCAGTGGCAGTCCTTTCTGACTCAGGTCCCCTGGGTGAAGCTAGGACTGCTGTCCTGAGGTTAGAAACACCTTCAGATGGGCCAGTACTGACCCCAGCATGGAAGGCAAGGAACAGCAAGAGTTAAGTTATTAGGGACAAATCTCTTTCTGATCATCAAAGATCCTGCAGCATTGTCCAAGAAACATCTCAGGACCTGAGGAATTCACCTTTTTCCCCAACAGAGATGTCTCATTTGCCTGTATTACATCTTGTTCGAATCCTGAACAGCTTCAGATTGTTGGTTTCATGTATTTATTGGACTTTAATTTGGATCCTTCCAACCGGTCTGAAAGCTAGAAGGGCTGAGGGAACCCAGTGATAGAAGCAATTAATACTAAGCACTGGCAGTGCCTCCGAGTCTGGCACAACAGGGTATTAACTTCCTTCCCTACTTCCCTACATACTTCCAGATGTTCTGCCACAGTGCAAAGTCTCCCCTCAGAAATGTAACAATCCATCTAATAGTTGACGTCAATGATGAGGAGACACAGCTGTCACTCCTCACAGATGAGAACGGGGAAGCTCACTTCACACTGGATACCACCAGCTGGAACAGCACGATGGTTTCTCTGAGGGTGAGTATGAGCCACTGAAAATCTTTTGTCTGGTGTGGGGTGTTTCCCATGAAAAGATAAAGGAGGAAAAATGAGATTATGGTCAAATCTACTAGGCTTAGATTTTTGCTAAAACTTTGTAAGAGGAAATCTCGTAAGAGACTTTAAAATGACATTTCAGCAAATTATTTTAAGCATACAGATGTGCACTCTGCCATCAGCTCAGGTGATAAGAGAGCTTCAGCAGGTGTACAAGTTCCCTTGCATGACTTGATACTAATTGTATTGCCACCTTGTGTTTATGTGCTCGGAAGGGTACCTACAACCCTCCAAGTGATGACAGACCGTCTTTTGAGATTGAAGGAGAGGACAGCTTCCACTGGCTGAAACCTTTCTACTCTGAGAGCAACAGCTTTCTTGAGATCAAGGCCAAGGACGATGTGATGTCCTGTGATCAAGAGCAGGAAGTGCAGGTGGATTATATCCTTTCCCAGAATAAATTCAGCTCTGAAGAAGACCACATTGATTTCTACTACTTGGTGAGCACAGAAGACAGCTGATTCTCAGGGCAAGGTTATGCTTACTGGCATTTTACCCTTTCCTCACAGCACAGAGATACTCAAAGAAAGGTAAAGCTACTCCTAGACAGTCAGTTTGTGATAGATAACTATCTATCAAAACTAGATAGTTTGTGACTTCTGTTTTGCCCAAATCTGTGCCTGCTTTCCAGTTCCTGGACCTGCTCCTAGCCCCCAGCTGCGTTGCTTTGTTATCCATGTCTTGACCTAAGCTTGGGTGATAGATGCTTGCCATTTACCCTACTTTCTCTTATGTCCACATGGATGGCAGTGGAGGGCTAGCCTGAACTCTGCCCAGAAGGTGTGCCCCAGATGTCTATCTGTGTCTGGGGCAGCTGACATTTCCCCGCCTGTATCTGTGCAGGGAAAAGCTTGAAAGGCCCTTGCCTTGATCCACATCAGAGGTATGTAATAGTGTTTTGATGAAGTCCACTTTCAAGAAAGTGAGTCAAAACAAGGGTGTGACTAAAGACTAGCTGAGAGGGTATGACTGTCTTGGTTACTGGACTGGACTCACTCGTACAATCAAAAAGTACTGTATCCTAGTAATGCAAAGATCAGAGTTCTCTGGGTCTTAAGAGCAGCTGTCCATAGCTTCAGAAGTACCTCTGGCTTTGCAAGCAGCCCCCCTTCTCATGGTCCAACCAACAACTCTCAAATCCTACCAAGCTATACCATCAACATCTCTGCTGCAGAACTCTGGAAATCATATCCCTCCAGAGGAACTTCTGGGGCAACATTTGTCAGACATAATTCTCTCTTCTTGTGTTCTTTTCACACTGTCATACTCCCGGGATTCAGACCCTTGAATGGTGCTTCTCTTTGTTCTTCAGGTGATAGCAAAAGGCAAGATCCTTTTCAGCAGAGCAAAGAAGGTGCCAATTACCCAGCACAAGAGTGAGTAAAAATATGAGAAGTGTCTCATAACACACTCCAGAAAACTGACAGCTCTCCAGTGACTGTCTGCAGGTGTTATTCTTATCCACAGGTGGGAAATAAAGAACTGAGTTCTTAGTGGTGATTCTTTTCATAAGACCAACACAATCTCCTCTCAATTTAGTGTCTTTATATGCAACTATCCTTCTTTCTTGTCTAATTGATCTAATATCCAGTCTTATGACTTTGCTGCTAACTTGTACCTTTGGAGAAGACGCGAGTCAAAGAAATGGCTGGTATGCTTGGTTTATTGTTAGTTTGTGACACTGTCTGTGTGGGGTGTTCTTATCTGCAGGTAGAAATTATTAAGTCCCTCTTTTGATTCTTAATGTGTGTCCCACTCCAATGAGCTGATTCGTTTGGATGTTGTCCCTCTCTTCCTTCCTGCTGTCTTGTGCAGATCTGCAGGGCTCCTTCTCATTGACTCTGCCTGTTGGCAATGAGTTCCTGCCTGACATCAAGCTTCTGGTGTATGCCGTCTTCTCAGATGGAGAGGTGGTGGCTGATGTGGAGCAGTTTGAAGTAGAAAAGTGCTTCAGACATAAGGTGAGCAGAAATCATGCAAGGATTGTCATGGAATCATTGATGTGCTCTGGTCTGCTGTGGTTCCTGGTCCTGTTTTATCCTCATCTGAACGGTGAAAGCTGGATATATGCAAAACCAGATGCCCAGTATTTTTGGCTGGGAAACAAGACAGGTAACCTCCTTCTCCCTGAATGCCTCTCCACACCAACTGGCAAGCTTTGCTCAAGAAGTAAACCAGGTCCCCTTGAACTCTGTTTTCTCTCCCTATTCCCCTTTACTGACTTGGGAACACACTGTCCCTCAAATGTCCCTAATGCAGAAGAGAAGCCTGTCTGCTTAGCTCTCTTTGGCAGTTCTGGATCAGAAGGCTGTGGATGTGTGGTGGTAGAGGAATTCTGGCTAAGGCTGTGTGTGCTGCAGCCTCTTCAACCTTCCCAAAGGATTTCCAGGATGGCCTGATTCAGCACCTCATCCCCCTTCCCTACCTTATTCGAAGGCTTTCTCTCTGCTACCCAGACATATAAGAGTCACAGGGTCCCACTCTCCAAGGCTAAGCCCCCAAACCTTGTCTTCTTTTGCAGGTGGCACTGGAATTCTCACACAAGGAGGAGGTCCCAGGATCAAAAGTCAGACTGAACCTCAAGGCTGCCCCAGGGTCCTTGTGCTCTGTGCAAGCTGTTGACAAGAGTGTCCTCCTGAGGAAGAACCAAACCCTAACAGCAGACAGCGTGAGTGCAGCCTGCGGTGTCCAACCCCCTGATGTCTGCCTGCCTTCTGCCTCCGTGCATATGTGGCAAGAAGCCCACAGTACACCCCAGGACAGCTGCAGTGTTGGCTGGCTGCCCTGCCATTCCCTTCCCTGGCCTCTTCTGAGCAGTTATGGGGTGATCATCTTCCTCATCCTCAGCTCTGTGCTGTCAGCCTCTGCCTGAAGGGTGATGGATGCTACATGGCACTGCAGGGAGAGCTGCTTCAAGGAGATGCTGCTGCTTGCTGCTTGGAGGGAGGGCGCTTAGCAGCCCCCCTCAGATCCACATCTCTGCTCTAACATCTTCCACCAACCAGTGAGGTTAAGCCTTTAAAATGGAATTTTGCCCTGGCAGTGTCCTCCTATTGCTGTGCCCCAACCACTTCAGAGTTGTAACCCCGTGACAGATCAGTGGTTTGGAGCAGTTCTTTAGAAAACAGTAGCTAGACGAGAGCACCCAGAGCACACAGCGGCTGGTGGTCAGTATTTTGTCAGCACCCAGGTGGATTCTGAGAATCAGAAGGGTTGGAGGCACCTGCCTTAAAGCAGCTGTGCGTTTCAGAGGAATGAATTTAAAACTTGGAGCATAAATACTGCAAAAATTGAAAATCCTAACATAAATCCACAATGCGTAGCAGAGATAAAACAGGGATATGCCTCATGGGAAGCTGTAATTTAAATTATAGCAGTACAGTGTGTTACAAAGAAGCCTCACCAAATCCACGGGGATGCACTACACCTGCTGATAGGGCCCAGAGTGTGAGCTGTTGGTCCATTTCATAGGGATGCTGTTCTAGTGCAGAGCACTTGCATAATCTACTAACAGGTATTTTAAGTAATAATCTTTAAATATGTAGGTCAGATGTGCCAATGACTTTTGTTTAAACTGAAGCATTTTTATCCTAATTTTGTACCCTGGTCTTGAAAGGCTTGAAACTGTCTTGCAGCCTAAAAACCGCTTGTCTACCTTTACTGCTTGGATTTATGTCCTTTATTATATATTATCCTATGTATGTCCTTTATATTATTAGTGTAAGCCGGGTCAGTGCCAACTTTCTCAGCTGCAAAGCTCTGAAGTATGTAACAGAGGGCTACAACCCAAAAGTTTGACCCATAGATGTGCTTGTTGGCCAGCTCTGTTGGAAGACCTGTGTTTTCCCGTTGCAGCTGTATGAGGAAATCTTTGAGGACAGCTTCACAGTCGGAGGCCGAGGCTTGCCTTACCGCTTGGAAGACTTTGAGGCATACCCTTGCCTGCCCCAGCAGCCCAGGCCCCACAAAAAGGCTTGGATGGGTGCACCATGGTACCAAAGTGAGGCTGATGTCTATAGCCTGTTTAAGGTGAGTGCCTACACCTCCTCTAAACTTTTCCTGAGCTAGTGAGTTCCAATATGCCGTCTTGAATGCCTACAAGAAGTCATCTGTTCCTTGCTGTTCAGGGTAGCCACACTCATTTGGGGACTATGGGGAAAGCTGAGTAAGCACAGTACAAACCACCTGATCAGAAAAAGAGAGGGTGAAAATGAACAAATTTACTTCAGGCCCACATAACTACAAAGGAGAAGTGGCAAGAATACAACAGTAATCCCTGAGCACCTCAACATATTCTGACCAATAACCACTTGGCTATTTTTGTATTTACAAACTATTTTACTCTGTGTTTCATTGAGTGTCTCCTTATCCTCAAAGCAGTTTTAATAAAAGGAAGCCTTTAACAGTTTGGCTTTATATCTGTTTATATCTAACACTGTTGTCTTGTCAGACAAACAATGAAATAAATTAATGTGCTAATAAGAATGATAGCCAGAAAGTGTTAACATGTCTGCTAACTGAAATGCAAGAAGTGCTGCTTCTGGCAGAATGAATGCTCTTTAATAAAATATATGCAAGTTGAAGCATTTCAAAGTAGGAGAAGACACACTGAAAACAACCCAAAATGTAGTCTGAATTGCATGGGTTTCCTAAGCTGACAGACCTCTACCACACAAATGCAGACCCTGATTCCTTTCAAAAGGCATGTTACTGTGCTGGCTCCTAGATGTTTATTCCTTAGACTATGTGTCATTGCTAGAGTCAGGCATATGAAGTGCACATCTAGTTGAAATCTACTTGTACGAGAAACAATAGCTGGTCCCAGCATTCCTCATGCACTGGTGAGAGTCTGAGCCTGTAAAGTTTTGCATATAGATATAAACAAGCAGCATTTAAAAGTGTTTTGCCACTGGCCACCAGCCTCAACTTGATACCCATGATCACAAGATAGTTTCAACATTCCTTGTTCCCCTTTATTTATATATTATTTACTATCTGTACTTTTTTATCAGAAACTGCGCATGAAAATATTTACCAACACTAGAATCAAGAAACCTGTTTCCTGTGTGCTTCCAGACTTTAAAAAAAAGATATATCTAAAAAACCAGTCTATTCATGGTAAGGAACACACATGTCCAACTTCTTGAGTGAAGGGTCTTCCCTCTCCCAGTTCTGGCCAGCCTGCAGCTGAGACAACTGACCCCCATCCTGCTGCATTTCTTGTTTGTGTATGAGAGTAACAAAGCTTGTGTCCATTTCAGTGGACCTGATTTACAAATCACAGGTAGAAGCTCAAATCTCCACGCTTTCTTGGTGTCCCTGTGTTCAGTGTTTTTCATACAAAATGTAATGTGCTTTCTGCCAGCACTTTCACAGATTATTTAAAGGAGTGTGACTCTATTTTAGCGTGCTGTCTCTCCCTGGATCCAGATCAAATTTGGATCCATCAGACTGAGCCTTGGGCTAGACTCCATCCAACTCTATCTCCTTAAACTCTGTTCCCCAAAGATACCCACACTGTGGCAGATTGTCATCGAGACACCAGCCCTGTCCACTCTTGTTCTGTGTCACAAAACATTTGTGGTTTGTCCTAGATTGCATGTGAATGAAGAGCTAGTTACACCTGTAGCTTTATATGCTGTTTTCTGAGGTATCACTTGCTTTCCACCAGGCAGCCGAGGTACCCTTGCTGATTCTAAACCTCGCTCCAATGACAAGGAGAAGCCAAAACCACGGACGCTTTTCCCAGAGACCTGGATTTGGGATTTGGTCTCTGTTGGGTTGGTAACAGACTTTGCCTTCCTTCCCCAGGGACACTCCTGGAGTATTCTCACTGCTTCTAAGCAAGTCCTCCTCTTCTGCTTCCTGCTGCAGGGGCGATGGACAAGCATCTCTCCACGTTGCTGTACCTGACACCATCACAGAATGGAATGCCAACACCTTCTGTGTTGCTGATGCTGGCTTTGGTTTCTCACCTCTGACCTCTCTTAGAGTCTTCCAGCCATTCTTTGTGGATGTATCACTGCCATACTCTGTGATCCAAGGAGAGACTTTCACTCTAAAAGCCACTGTCTTCAACTACCTCAAGGACTGTATCCAGGTGAGTTCCTCCAAGTGAGTTTCCCCAATTACATGGCCTCTGTCAGAACAAAAAGTGGAGGCCAAAGTGAAGTTCTGAGCTCCTCAGGAGCCCTAGATGCTGATATCTGGGCCATAAAGCACAACCTCACACTTTATGACCCAGGGTATTTGCTGCTGGCTGCAGTGCCTGTTACTAACACTAACCCAAGGTGTGCTTGTACATCCAACCACGCTCAGGTCCACACCACCCTCATGGAGACCCCAGAACTGAAGGTGGATGCCTGTCCAAGCTGCCAGTTCACCAGCTGCCTCTGTGCCAACAAAGCAGAAACCTTTGTGTGGAAAGTGACGGCAACCAAGCTGGGTGAGGCTGGGCAGAGGGATGTGTGGCAGCTGGTGGGAGGAGGAGTGGAATTTGCCCACGTCTGCATGTCTGGACCTAATGCTTATACACACAGCTGTCTGCTGCAAGTGCTCAGCAACGTGTTCCTGTGCTCCCTGCAGGCAGAGTGAATGTCACCGTGAGCAGCGTGGCAGAGGAGTCACACAGCCTCTGTGGTAACAGGACTGCTGTGACACCTTCACAAGGAGGGGGAGACACAGTGATAAAATCTCTGCTTGTGAAGGTTGGTCACATCTCAGGGTGGAGAACCCCTGGGGGCAGGGGTTTGTCCCCTGGGGCAGTCAGCAAGATGCTAAGAGGAAGTTCAGCTCTTTCTTGGACATCAGGCAAACTTGCTAAGGCAGGGTGACTTCCTTTCCTGTCTTCCCTATCTGAACTATTCTTCTTCCATCTGCAGCCAGGCGGTGTCCTACAAGAGAAGACCCAAAATGCCTTTCTCTGTCCTGCAGGTAGGGGACAAAAATTCTTCACTGCCATGATCATGAGACCAGGATGGAAGGGACAGGGTTAATGCGAATACTCAGAGGTGGGGGGGATTAATGAGAGAACAAGCAAAATTCCTGCCTGGAAGAACAACCACTATAATTTGTCCCTGTCAGTCTTTTACCTGGCAAAATTTCCTGTATTGAGGCATTTGTTTGCATGTCTTGGCTCCTGTGACTCGATGTCACATTATGCTTCACCTGGGTCTCCCTGGATGTTACCCTTTGATGAATGGCTTCTTCCATGGGACAAATGTTTGGGTTCTGCCTTCCTCAGATAACACCATCTCTGAAGAGTTCTCCCTGACTCTGCCTGCAGAAGTGCTGGAGGGATCTGCCCGAGTCACGTTCTCTGTGATTGGTGAGAAAGGCTTCCCCTGCTCTTGAGCCCATAGCGATAAATCCTGCGCAAAGCCTTGGCCTTACTGATGCATTGACCCAGCTCCTCATGAGATCATCTGTAAGAGGTGTGATGTAGGCCTCAGAAATGTGGATCAAGCAATATTTTCCAACATTTATTACTCTCATAAGGAATGATCCTAGGTGATCCCCAAGTGTCTGGAGGAAAAGGCACAAATCAGGATATCCTCTATGACTTCTGTCGCTGCCATCCACCTAAGTGAAACAAAACCATCCCTGCGTATTTCCACCAATTTTGTAAATCCTTTCCCACCTTGGTACCCGCTCAGGAACGACAGCTATCTTTACCTTTCTTCTGACCCCCTCAAGCTTCCCTTCCTCCTTCCAGAACCATGATGTCTTCTCTTTCTGTACTGGCCTAATGTAGGAGGGGTCACCAGAAATCTCATTCATGTCTCTTCATCCAGAGCTATTTCCTAGGATCCCAGCAGGGTCTAGTGAAGGCAGCAGTCCTTTTGTTTCACATGCTCAGTGTCTGTGCTTTTCCTTTCTCCTGTCTCTCCTCTCAAATGTAAGGTGACATCATGGGTCCAGCACTTCAAAATTTAGATAGGCTGCTAAGCATGCCCTTTGGCTGTGGTGAACAGAACATGGTCCTGTTTGCACCAAACATCTTCATACTCCAGTACCTGAACAAGACTAAACAACTGAACCCAGAAATTAAGGATAAAGCATTGACATTTCTGACAACAGGTAAGCATTGTCCTTCTTTCTGCTGCAAAATGAAGCTGCAATAAATCAAGAGTGTGGGGAAAAGGTCTGGTGGGGAGCTGAAGGGCAGCTGCAGAAATGACTGCCAGAGCTGTGACAAAGGAAGGTATCACAGAGAAAAGGGAAATGTCTCATGGAAAGAAAAGTTTCTGAAGAAAACACGACTTGTCTCTGTCGGTAATTGAGGTACTAAGTCTGCTTTTTTGAGAAAGGTGTAGGTAATTAGTGATTTCCATCATTATGTGATGCCTATTTGTTCCCTTATCAGTCCAAGGCTCACAGAAGCATCTTGTGGAAAGAGGGCATCAGCTGCTATTACATGGAATAAAGAGTGACCTTTGAAAATAGATATGATTTCAGTAGCTTAGAGTTTCCCCATGTTTTAGAAAACATATTTGGGGGCATGTCAATTCTCTCCAGTATAATCTGAATTTAATATACTGCCAGTGTCTGTCTCATGTTGTAATGTGCCTCATATTTCAGCTTGCCAGTCTCTTTGTCTGGACAGGATTTGACTCCTTTACTTTTCTCCTTTTTCTCTGTACTGCAAGCATGTACTGAGAACAGGTACATGTGTCTGGAGAGGGGTGGCTACCCAAGAGAATGGTGGTGGCAGGAAGGAAAGTCAAAGGGTAGACAAAAAGGCTGTGAGGAGGGTGGAGGGAGAGCAAACAGATGCAGACAGCAATCTGCCCTCAGAGCTCGAAGGCATGGCCTTGTTTCTTCCTGTACATCCCACAAAAAATGCTTTGTTGAGTCCCAACAGGGCTAGGAGAAGTGCTGAAAAGCAATTAGGGTTTCATTTGTGTCACCTCTGCCTTCCTCCTCACTCCTACCACTCTTTTTATTCACAGCAAAGCTCCTGAGGGCTCCCTGGGACATGGGGAGCCATGAGGTGGCTGAGCATGTCACCCTTCTGCAAAAGGGCAGGAACCCACACCGCTTGCTCCAAACAGCTCCAGTAATGCAGAGCAGCTGCATGGCCACTTCAGCAGTGCTGTGCAACTGCTTCTTGTCACACTGATGCCGTGGGATGCAGGGGGAGCTGGCCTGGTGTGCTTGTCTCAGTGGCCCTGATTGTAGGACCTGGTGAAGCCATCTTCCCATGGCAGGGATACAGTCTGAGGTGCTACAGGTCCTCACAACCAGTCATGTCCTGTTATCACAGGTTACCAGCGTCAGCTGCTCTACAAACACGACGATGGCTCCTACAGTGCCTTTGGGAAAGGGGATGAGCAGGGCAACACGTGGTGAGTGACCAGAATTTCTGTTGCCATCCTAAACCTATCATCCTTGCTGGTTCATCTCCTGGCTGTGACGTGGGATTCCTCCATGTGCTCTGCTCACAGGCTGACAGCTTTTGTAGCCAGGTCCTTTGGACAGGCCAGCTCTCACATTTACATTGACAAGGAGCACGTGCACAGCGCTCTGCGCTGGCTGCAGAAGCAGCAGCTGCCCAGTGGCTGCTTCCAGAGTGTGGGGAAGCTCTTCAACAATGACCTGAAGGTATGGCTGCCAGATATGGGAGTGGGAGCAGGAGGAGCTCCATGTGAGGCACAGGGTTGCTTCCTCAGGCTTTTCCACTGTCAACAGTAGCACAAAGCAATGTCCCCGTGGCCTAGCACAGCTAAGGCACCTTCTCAGAGCAGAAGGAAAAACATGGCTTAAGCCAGCAGTCATTTCCTCTGTGTGAAGTTTTAGACTCTGCTAGGCTTTCTTAATTTTCACTCTAGCCAAAAGATGACACAGCTAATTGTACCGAGGCACTACAAAGACACAGGGAAATGAAAAATATTTTAATATGTTAGTGCTTGTCCAGAATACCCTGGCTGGGTTCTCACTCTTCTCGTACCTTACAGCACACAGTACTCTGTGCTCTAATACAGGACTGTCTGAAGATACAGTGGTCCCTCCACTGCCTCAAAAACATGACTTCTTCTAGAGCTTTGCACCCCCCAAATGATCCCTGCAGTGTAGCTGGAAATGCACCGCACTCTTGGTGAACAAGCCCTAGAGCTTAGGTACTGAACAGTTTATGTGCAGCATGGCAGGCTTGGGCTCATTGCCTTTGTAAAAGTACAAATAATCCACACTGGTCAGATTGCAAAATTGCCCACATTAAATACATGGAAAATTTATAAAAGGAAACAGGTTGTTACATTACTAAAGCAAAGGGTTATACATTTTTTCCTAAAATTTGGATGCAGTACAAAATAAAACAGAGTACATGTGCAGACAGTTCATGCTTGTCTGACTGTCATTAATTTCCCACCTTGAGCTTTCCATTTGAGCAGAACTTTTTGGAATAGGTTTTGCACTTTCACCTGCCTCACACTTACAAAGTTTCTGCTAGTCAGTGTGAATGATGCTTAGCCCAATTTCCCCCTCTCATTTTAGATGTATACTTGTCTCATATCTGAGAATGTAAGCAGAACCTCCCCAAGAATGAATGTTCTCTGAGATGAAAAGTCAGATGACTTATATGTAAAGTTGCATAAGTTCTTGTATGCAAATCCTGCATCATAAAAACTTCATTCAAGTGTACAGTGGTAACATATTTAATAAAATAAATTTCTTACAGTTTGCTTCATGCCCTTCTATGAGAAGGGGTGTCTAGGCTGTGTGAACAACATGACTGAGACTGCTCTCAGCAGCAAACTTTCAGGATATTCAGCAAGTGAGCCTGGAGGGCTTTCCTGTCCAAGAATGCCTAGAAGCACATTGCTGCTGGGTTTCTCCTTTCCTGATGGACTGCCTGTGTGCTTGCAGGGTGGTGTGGATGATACGATCTCATTAACAGCCTATATTGCTGCTGCACTGGTGGAACTCGATCTGGAGAGGAATGTAAGTCACACCTGAACTCATGCAGGGCTTGGCAACATGCTCCACCATTCCTTCCTCCCCTGGCTGGGGGCTTCAGGGAGTACCCAGCTTGAGCTGGTGAAAGGTTCTGTCATTCCCACCTTGCTACACAGTAAGCTAAGCAGGAAAATTTTAACTTGGTGGGGAGGTCTTAATATAAATGGCCTGATTTGCAGCAAAGCAGAGCACTTGCTTTTCCCAGCTCATCTCAAGGGAAGCAATTGTGTCTGAAAATAACAAAGGGCTTGCAGGGAGAGGCAATGGATTTCATTAAACTGATCAACAGAGCTAAAGGAGAAATAAAAGACTGCTTTTCAGGTACGCACTGTCCCCCCTCCCTCCAAATAAAAGCAGTGATCTTCAAGACTTCTAGAAGAAAAAGAACTGATATTCCAGGCTTAATGGTACAGTTCTAAAAACTGTACTCTCTCAGGATCAGACACCCACAGCATGTGTATCTGACATTCTTAACCAGTATGTTAGCAGACACTTCCTACTGCTGGATTCTCCACTGTATTAGCAATCCCCAATCCCAATGATAAATCCATCAGACCTTTTCTTCCAACCCACAGTCAGTGATACTTTGACCACTCTACCTCACACTTCAAAGTCCTGAGGGAGATGCTGGCACTAAATTGTGTCAAGGATGTGTCTGGGACAGTTGTTCACAACAACATGTTGTTTGGTCAGAGGAAATTCACTTGGTTTGGATTCCTTTTTCAGGACACCATGTTGGATAATGCCTTACACTGCCTCAAGAAGGTAACACTTGCTGAGACAAGCCTTTATGTCAAGGCTTTGATGGCTTATGTCTTCACACTGAGTAAGGACATGGAGATGAGAAAGCAGCTCCTGGATATGATAGAGAAGGCAACTGGTAGGTTGTTGCTTTGGGGTCCTAGAGATCACGACTGTGTTCAAGGTCTGATACCTGTAGCATTTAATTGCAGCATTCTGGGAAATTTTGCTATTCACAAGTACACTTTTGTGTCAGAAAATCATAATTTATTCAAGCTATGAGAATCTCTAGTTTTCTCAGACCCAGGGAATGGTGCTCCTGTAATTCTTCAGCAATTCATACATAGTACAAGAGATCTTGCAGAGCAAACTTGTTTCACCAGGTCTGTTCAGCTGCTGGTCAGGACATTTACCTGAAAAATTCAAACCTTTTGACTGCTTCCTCATTGCTGCTCTACTCAGCTCAGGGCCCTTGGGTGGATGGACCTTTATGGCTGTGCTTGGTTCTTCCTTTTGTCTCATTAGCATGGGGAGAAAAATAGACTTCTGAGTAAGAATGCTGGGGTGGGTGTTCAAAGCACCTAAGCCTATGGCTAAACAGTTGTAATATTATCTAAGTTGGTTTAAGTAAGTTCTTCCCCACATTTGTTTGTCTGGCAGTGTGGTGAACCACACTGAGGGCTGAAAAATAATAATATAAAAAAAAACAAAGGGAGAGAGGATTTTTCAGCCTGATCAGCTACTGGGTGTTGCTCACTTCACAGCCACTCAAGCTGGAACAGGAAAGAGTAGAATTGCACATATTCAGTGCAGTGCTTGTTCAGAGTGGCCCCTGTGATAATACACACAAGGAAAAAAACTTTCCACTGTGATAAACATAATGAAAGTTCTCTGAAGTTTTCTAAATTCTGAAGTCTTGAGGCTGGTAGGATGCAAACAAGTGATTTGGTGGTTCTTCCGTCAAAAGTGAAGGTTTGTTCTGAAAACTGACTTTGAATTCAAAAGCATTTCAGTTTTTCACACTTGTACCATTGCGGAAGATGCCAACACAATTAAGCCTGGCACAATTAAGCTAAATCCTTAGCTGAATTTTTGTTAGTTTCCTACTACCACTGGGACAAAATATTCAGCACCTGTGAGCTCAGACCTGAGGTGGGAGCCCAGCTTTTGTTTAAATTGCCCTTCACCATGCACTGCATAATGAGGATGCCAGCAAAGTTGGGTAGTCTTTCTCCTCCAGTACCCTGATAGCAATTCTCCCTCAAAGACTGAGCAATTATTTTACAATAGGTGCAAGTGACTGGAAATGAGTCCTGGAGCTTTTCAGCACAGGGGGTCCTGTTACTCTATGCTAGGCAAATGAAGAAACAGCAAAAATGCTGAATCTTGGAGACATAACTTTGAATATACACAGGGACCTACAGTTCTTCTTATCCCTATATTTCTTCCCCAATCAGCACAGCTACTGACACCACAATCTGATGATGAAAAGTCCTCTTCCACGATTGAGACAGTAGCCTACATCATCCTGGCTCATGTCTCCAAACCAGACTTGTCACACAGTGAAGCCTCCGTGAGCAAGCTTGTGCACTGGCTCAGTGGACAAAGAAATGCCTTTGGAGGATTTGCTTCCACACAGGTAACAAACCTGGGAATTCATGGGGTAAAGAGAAGAATGTTGTGCCTGAATCTCTCATGTGCATGCCACTCTAGACCCATCCTTTTCAGACAAAGGTATATGAGCCTGTTTGGGGAGTGCCATCAGAAAACTCTGTGTAGTGTAATTTGGATTACCCAGGGTCACAGGCTGCCTTTTCCAGGTGACAGAAATCATTCTGCTGCCTGTGGCATAGACCCTACATATGCACTTAATGTTACAGAGCCTGCCTGTGTCAGAGGGTGAATCAGGGCCATGAGGACTGTGTTTTACCCTGCAGTCCCTGAACTGGTGTGCTGGCTCTTGTCCTGCGTGGCCCCGCAACAAAGTGACTCTGACTCTCCCTCCAGGACACGGTTGTCAGCCTGCAGGCCCTCGCTCAGTATGGTGCACAGGAACAACAAGCTGGTCCTGCATCAGGCATCTCTCCTTGCAGACACAGGGACCTACACAGTGCAAGCGACAGGCAGTGGCTGTGTTTACGTCCAGGTACGTATGTGTAAGGAACAGAGCTCTCAGGTTTTGCCTCTGACTGCTGAAGTGAGGTTTGGCTTTAAGCAGGTACTATAGCCTCAAGTTCTGACTAGGATTCTGCCTTCTAGGCAGAATCATTTCAAGCTTGAAGGTACTCAGGTGTATTTTGTTGACAGGGTTTCATGTAATCATCTCTGGTATTTTCTCAGAAATGTCTCAGCTTTGCTGTCCTAGCCTACAGAGGCATGCCATTTTTAAGAGACCAGTAGATCTGAAGTCAGGAGTAATGAGACAAAGAGTACATGCTTCTATTTTGAATGTGTGTTGTTGTCACTGCTTCAGGAGCTGCACACTGTAAGTCTTCTGACACAACATTCTTAGGTTGTTATCACATGCAGAGATGTGATGTGGTACCAAGGTCTTCTTATTCCAGTACAGCAACACAACTGATCTATTAGGAGGATACATCTTATTCTTCTGTCAGTTTTGATAGTTCACTTGTGAGCCATTCATGCAGCAAAGAACTCAAGTCACTCCCTGTGAAAACCTTTTTTGCTGGGTCACTTCTGTTCAGATGATGCCCACAGAAAATCTTATGGCACAGAGATTTTGCAAGCACTGTCTAGTTGAGAGAACACAACAATTATTAATTATTAATGCATGTAGGAGGCAACTAGAACCTCACTGCTTGGCTACACTTGCATACAGTCAATGAGCACAAGACATCTGATGAGCACATGCTGGGGAGTCAGTCAGTCACCAGGCAGGTGGAGGAAGATTGGTCTGTGCTGCTCTTTGGATGAATGTGATCATCCTGCCTGCTGTCTTCCAATCTTTTATTCTTCTTTCTTAAGAGAATTGTAAATGTTTTACCAGTATTTTCCCCTTGAGACCTAGAACTACTGAGTATTAGCATGTCAAGAGTTAGCAGTTAAACTTCTTTCTCCTTATGGGGCAGTGTTTTAGCTAATGTGCTACCTTGAACCTTAACAGTGTTTCTTTTTAATGAGACTGAATGAGGCCTTGAATCACAGACAGCTGAGTCTCCAGGTTTGGGGTTGCATTTGGCAGGTGTATCTGATGCAGTGTGCTAAACAGCACATCTCTGAAAAGAAAGTGCATGAGTCCACCTGTGTTAGCCACTGGCTACTAACCCATTAAAGCTGGAGGCACAGGTAGTCCTTTACTCAGGGAAACTCTGGGCCACTTCACAGAGATGTTTTCTCCCCCACCAGACTACTTTGTACTATAACATCCCACCACCAAAAACAGAAGAGGTCTTTGTCCTGGATGTGGAAACAGTACCAAGAGAATGTGATGGTGTCAGGAAACAGTTTGACATCCATATGTCTGTCAGGTATGAGACCCCTCGAGGCTCTTTCTTCAGTGGAAAAAAGCATGAACCCGGTTGTACGACTAGAACCCCATGAAAGCCTCTTGTCTGTAGAATCAGAGACACAGGGATGACCCTCTTCTTCTCCATACATCCCAAGGAGATAGTTAACTGAGAATTAAGGCCTGGAGAATCATGGCAGTGCACTGGTAGTGTCTTGCAGAACCACAGCAATTGTCTCAGGCAGCACAGAGCAGCTCAGCAGTCCCCAGAGTACCAGCAGCTGAACTCCCATTTTGGGAGATGCTTGGCATCCTGGGCTGAACCAGCCCTGAGGTGCATCCCTCTGTACTGAGAACCTCTGCTGGAACTAGACTAGTGGAAGCTCCAGTTCCTATCCACATTTCACTTGCCTGCTTCTGTCTAGGATGAGAGTCCATATTCTGCATGCCTTACTGTCCTTACTGAAAGAGAACAATACAAACACTGCCACTCTCAGCCTGTAACAGCAAAGGTCATTTCCACCTGTTGGAGAGGACAACAGGATGCCATATTATTTCCACATTAACCATACACATATTTGCTGCACAATCTGTCTCCACATTGAGTAGATGGGGACCATTTTTTGTCCCTTTGTCCCAGCAGTTAGACATACTTTCATATCACTGTAGGGCAGAGCAAAGTCTGGAAGTGCCCATTAGCATCTCCTAGAAATGCTGTGCTGCCTTCCACTCTAATGTGCTTCTCTCCTGACCCCCTTCAGATATGTAGGGGACCGTGGGACAAGTAACATGGCCCTGGTGGAGGTGGAGATGCTGTCAGGGTTCATTCCTCTTCAGAGCTCTGTGAAAGAGGTAAGACTTTTCCTTCAGCTTCCCATGAGGATATCAAAATCTATTTTCCAGAAGTATCTCAGTCAGAAATGTCCAAACATTTAAGAAGTTTCAGAGAATGGTAATTACAAGTGCAGATATAACAGGCTATTTCACAAGGCAACTTTCCACTTGCACCAGTGCTTGTGCAGTTTTTCGTGTTCATAGTCAGAATTGCCTACACAGGAAGAGGTTAGAGAGAAGATGAAAAAGCATCTAGTTAGAATCACTTGGGGTGCATTGGGCCCCTTTGCAGTTACCAGTGCCATTTTTAGGGATATTCCATAAAATGGTGTTGAATCCCATAGAGTTGTTCAATTACATGCTCCAGTGTTCAAGAGAAGGAAGATCCAACACAGCCTTGTACCAACCAGTTTTCCCTTTGCTCCAAGCGATGAAAGTAGGATCACGGCCCAAGGACACTTGTGCCAAAACTGAAAAATATTTTCTAAGGCTTGATGTGCTCCCAACAGTCTCAGTACCGAGGAAGGCAGACCTGACTAGTCCTCAGGCTAGGCTAAGTGCTTTTGTCAGCAGTGGTTCACTGACAATACCAAACCTGCTGTGAAACAGGGCAGGCCAATAAACTGATGCTAACCAAGCTCATCTCTTGCTTCCTATACAGCTGGAGAAGGTACCCCTCGTGAAAAAGACAGAAGTAAAACCAGACAAAATCACAATCTACTTGGAGGAGGTAAGAGGAAGGCCACAGGGAACTGCCCGTTCAAGTAGTAGTAACCGATGTACTTTTGCATGGGGACTTTTGCAGATTAGAAATACAAATCTCTAGGCTGGTCATGTAGGCTAAACTTTTCACAGAAGAGGAAGAGGGTGGAAGAACCTGGAAAGATAGAAGAAAACCCCTCTGATGCAGAAGGAGTAAAGTCAGTATGTAGGTGATTTTGAGATGATCAGTGCATTTTTGCTCACTTCCATCCTTCTCTCCAGCTGGGTGAGAGTTCTCTGAAGCTTAACATCTCAGTGGAACAAGATGTTGAAGTGCAAAATCTGAAAGCTGCAACAGTGCACATCTATGACTACTATAAGCCAGGTGAGATTTCACTGACAGTGGTGTAAAGTAACTACTGTGCCCCCCACTCAGACATAATTCTGTGACCCTAATTCCCTTTAACTCCCTTATTCCAGTGCATGTCCTCCTGCAACTTCAAACTTGGGTTTCCTCTGTACAAAACTTCAATATTCAAGTAGGCACTTGCTTAGAAAAGTCCTTGAAACAAGGCTGCCTGGCACTATGATTATGTTGCGGGGTGTTATGCGTTCCATGACTGTGATTGTTTTCTTCCTCTAGCTTCAAGCTAGAAGACTTCTCTGAAAATTTGCCATGACTTCTCCAGTTTTTTAGCTCTCTTGAGAATACTTAGGCATTTATTTAAAATCAGTGTTATATAGTGCTACCTTGATCCACTAGAAGGCAGAATTTAGTTGTATGCGTTTCATGTATACTGTAAAAATCCCACCATCCATTGTGTTCTGCCGTGTCTCAGAGGATAATAGGAAAATAATTTGTTACCCTCTAAAGCTCTAAATGAATTATTACCACAGAGAGGAGAGATCTTGATGATATTTTGAGTCTCTCCAATTATTCTGTACTCAGTATGAGACAAAACAGCAGATAGAACATTAAGATTTTTTATTTTATTTGTTTTTTAATTTGAGACCAAAATGGAAAAACTGCTGCTGGAAATTTAGGAAGCAGCACAACATATCATATACTAAATTCCATTCTTGTTGCCCCTTCCCCACCATGGCAAGAAAAGGACACTTTTTAATCCAGCTATTACAGAGCTAAATATTGTCACCTAATATGTTCTTTCTCTGCTATTTCATCCTGTACAAGAATTTTTGTGCTTAGTACATACAATTTAAAGAGTGCTATCTGACATGAAAATACTAATTATCACTAAATAAGCAAGGCTATCAGGACACACTGGGGAAAGGTTTTTTATTTACAAAACGTGTCCTTGCATTAGAAGGTGTCACAGCACACAAAGTGATCTTTTGTAGCTGTATGGGGATACATGTTGTGGGGACAGATTCCTGGCCTGACCCACTAGAGATGTTTCTTTGTTCCTGCATTCACAGTCTGAGGAGTGAAAAATTAAGGTAGTGAGATGACTGTGCTGCTGAGAAAGAAATTTGGCAGTACCCTACCATGCAGTCCTGCAGCTCACCACCCTTTCCCTCTTGTTTCTACAGATGACCGCACGGCAAGAGAATATGCTTTCCCTTGCAGTTCAGGTTAGTGTTAACAGGCTTCCAGCTGGAACAGAGCAGAGGACTGGTGGTAAGCAGGCAAAGCATCCCACCTATCTCTGCATTTCATCCTGTCATGTGAACCAGAGCCTTCCTGAAGGTTGAATTGGGATCTACTTCTTGTGGGCACAGTTTCTAGCCTGGGTATTAATCTCAGTGTAGACCAAAGCTTGAGTATACCATGGAAGGTTAAAATAATCTCTAATTTAATTTCCATACAATCCTCACAGCATCCCAAATCAATCTGGAAATGCCTATGTCAGGGATAAAAAGATGTAGCAACTCACCCCATAAAATATCTTAGTCTGCATATATCTTCCTACAAATTCATCAGGCACTTTGCCTTTTCTTTCCTCTTTCTTTCTACAGATGCCTCAAGGCAGGTTTCCTCCTAGTATGCTCTGACTCTGCAACCTGAGTTTTCTGCCTTTATAAGGAAAACATTGCTTCAGCTCTCCTCTTCACTGCTGTGTTGGCAGCACCCTATTTCATTTGCCCTATGTTTCTATGTGAAAACTGGCTTAATACACATTAGTTTGGGAGAAAACAAAATAAAGCATGTGGAACCTGTAAAGAAGGCAGTGACTTGACAGCTGATGAAGATTTCAGCGCATGAAAAAGAGGGAAACACTGTGCATGTTATGGATACATACTTTGCATTTGGTCACCATAATGGTTTAAATCTCTCTCCTCTCCAAGTCCCATTTCTGAGCTCCTTTTTAATTATTAACTCAATTAACACAATAGTTGATCTGCAACCAAACTCCATGTGAAAAAAACCCCTCATTTTTAACCATGATCTGGTTTACTATCTGACCCTGTGAGTAATTTTTCTGTCACAATTGCAGGAGCAGGCAAGGGAGTGCTGAGGAAGAAATACTTTACCAGTTCATTCAGACAGAAAAGGCCTGTACAGCAAAGTCTTATGAAGGGAGGGCATGAAACCAAAATAACACTCACTCCAAATTCACTACATGTTTAGACTCTGACAACACCTAGTCCCATCCTGTCAAGACATTAACCCAAATGACTAATCCTTACCTGTGGCACTACCTAAAAAAGACAACAAACTGAGGAATTTCAGGATGCAGCACATGCAACAAGACAACAGAGTGTATGCAGATGGCTCAGCGGGATATGCAGTGCCATCAGGAAGATAGCACTCATGAAAAGGGGGATACTAGATAAGAAAAAATGGGAACTAGTTTTACAGGGCTGATTGCCAAAAGAGAAATTACCAGGACAGTCATGCCAAAAATTTGAAGTAACAAGGCCAGGGGCAATGGAAAAGAAGTGAACAAGATAAGCTGGGGATTTGGGAAGCGATGACAAAAAAGGGGAAAAAGGAACATGAATGAAGGAGGTGATGTGACAAGGATTGTTTGGGTTATCCCTGTGTAGTAGCCATTTGCCTGATCAATACAGTTTGCAAAAGGAGAGCAAATACGTTTTTTTCTATGACCATTCAGAACAATTGGTCCATAAAGTGGGCAGAACCAGCCCTTCCACAAGGGGACAAAAAGAAAAGTCTCACTGCAGTGCTTAACAAGCATTTAGGGGAGGAAGAAAAACTGAGGAACCAAGGGATACATTCTGTGGACAGCTGATACAAAAAGTGGACAGGGTTGAGTTCAGGGAAGCAAAAATAGGAAAGGACTCATCAGGCCTTGCAAGGATTGTTCCCCAGCACTGTCCCTTCCCGAGACATTGTAGGAATCAACAGAGACTGTTCAATGATGCTCTGCAAAGGGAGCAAAGCGAGACCTGTTGCCTGTCTTGGTTGCCTTCCTGGCAAGTCTCTTCCTCTAGATATTTGGTCTGGACTGGAAGAGCTTTGGGGTCAAAGCCCTCTGATCTGTTGAACTTCAGAGAGGGAGGTTGTAAATAAAACCTGAAGCCTGTAACCCAGCGAGCTCATTGTGCCTGTAAGCCAGGCTCTCCCATCTCTAAATGGACATGTGCCAAACTGCTTTACAGTTCATTGGATCAGATTGCCATGAAATTAGATCTTGACAAAAGCAGACCCACCAACATTCTTCTGCTTCTGATGATAGGATGTCTTGGTACCTTGTACCTGCCTGGGGTAGATAAGTAAGAAAAACAAGTGTGTGAAATATGCATACAAACAGATATTTCCAGGCTGTGGTTTCAAATCAGATAGATGTTATTCAGCTGCAGAGGAGGGGCTGAGGAAGCTGGCAAAGCAGAGAACTGAAAAAAAGCTGATGTGCAGCAAGCTCTCATAAGATAGGAATGTACAGTAGAAGTCAGTGAGGTGTTAGCCTCTTGAATTAAATATTAGGGAATGCAATAAGTGGCTAGTTGTGCTGAATGGGCAATTTGATGCTTGCTGAATTCTGTGGCTGTTGAAAAGTGCTCCCTGTCCTTGGTGACATCCATAGGAAATACCTTCCAGAGCGAGAAAGGAACCTTTGTAAAGTGTAAGCAAAGGAAGAGCTGGTGGCCAGGAGACCTCTTCCACCACCTCACTACAAGCAGCTGTGTGGGCCTTGATTGCCCAAATGGTCTGGAGGCAACTGGGAAATTTTCTGCAGAGTTTTGCTGCTTTAATCTGTAAAAAAAGAAGGTCCAGAAGAGCATAGTACAGGCAGCATCTTACAGGCAATCTGGCCACCAGCATCTCAGACAGCAAGGGATTTTTCTGCAAAGAGAAGCTCTTAAAAGGAGTGGGAAGTAGGTCTCTTAAAAAGAGGACAACTGTAAGCCCACAGGGTGGCCCCAAATGGATTCTGACCGTGTTAGGCCACTATTACAAAAAATAAATATATTAAAAATTATAAAAAATAAAAATATTTAAAATCTGTACATGGAAAAGGTAGTTTGTACAATGAACAGTCCACCACAGAGACAGGGTTTTCCTCCTGAGATACCTGAAGGTGATGGTCTCACTTCCAGGCTGAAGTGAGTAAATGGGTGTGGGAAAGAAGTGCAGTTACACAGACTACATGTGTGTTTATATGCCTGTACTATAAGAATCCGTACGGCCCAATATGCAGGCTCATGTTCATGCTACGAGCTGTTTATTCACCTGTGGATAAGGTTCGTTTACTATCACTGTCGCTCTGATAAATTGGAAAAATAACTCGAGTTCGGAAGGTGCACTTTTCCTACCGGGCCACTGAGTGTCACCATCGCTCCGTGGCTTGCTATGCAAGATGCTGTTTCTCCAGGGAATAAACCTCCTTTTCTGAAACGGCCTGGAATGGGAACAAAAAATAAAAATCATTGGAATGAAAATGGGCTGCTTCTTGCTTCTTCCTGGAGCTGGGAGTAACCTCCTTTTCTAAAACGGGCTAAAATGGGGAAAAAAAAAATATCATTGGAATGAAAATGGGCTGCTTTTTGTTTCTTCCTGGAGCCTGGAAGAGCTGAACCTAAAAAGTGAGCTACCTATGAAATGAATTCTGCCTTATACGTAGGCAAAGCATTTGACAGGATTCCAGCCAGACCCTCTAAGCCAGTCTTACAATTTACAGCATGATCCTCAGTGACAACAATTATGAGACTGAACAAGTGCTTTCTTGGGAGACACTAAAAAGGCTGGGATCTCATCATTTGGTGAGCAGAATGAGCAGAATTTGTTGAGAAGATGAAGTATTGATATTTACAAATATAATGAAGGTGATGGATAAAGTGAATGGAAAATTCAGAAAATGTTTCCATGGCGGATCGGGCGTGTGTGATAAAACTAGTTGGTAACCAATTTAAAACAAATAAAAAGGCACCTTACACTATAAGAACCTACTGCTACAGGAGTTACGGAAGCCAAAAATATAATCAGGTTCAAAAAGCTCATAGATAAACTAATGGAAATTTTGTCCAAAGCAAACAGTTTGTGGGGTATTCTCCACCATTCCTGCTACCATGCTTGGATGTGGGAGCAGAACAAGGGGAATGGACTGCAGGTATTGGCCAGGTGCTCCAGCTTTCCCTGAAAAGTATTAAGGGCAGCTGAACCTGATGGACTGAAAGGTCCAGTGGCGTCCTTTTTTTCCAAATCAGTGGAGTTGAGTGAGAGCTTACTTGTTTCACACCCCAGCTACAGCAGAGTGCAACTCCACAAAATACAGGCACACCCAGGTTAATGCTGACAGGAGACAATACTTCGGAGATACCCCTATCAGCACGGTGTCACTGGCCTGATCCTGTTCCTAAGGATCAGTACTCGGAGAAATGTGCTTTCATATATCTCAGGCTTTTGGCCCTATAAACCTTTCATCCTACTGGCTGACTGGGCAGACCACATGCACACAACAAAGAGCACAATAACACGGGAAACAATTCAAATAATTTATTAAAAATGTATTGCAGGCTCCGACGATCAGACACAAAACTTATGCAGACAAATATACTGATTGCATTTGACCGGCTTTGTTTATCCCTACCTTCTCTCCATTTGATCCACCTCCATCCCTCCATTTCCCTGCCTGTGATTTTTACCCCAAGCATACCAGTGCAGTTTTGAAAATCCTAAAATTCTCTTTATTGGTTCCAACATCCCCCCACAGCTGCTAAGTACTCCCCCCTCTTCAGTCCTTAAGCCTCTTTATTGCAGTATTTTCCCCTAGTCCTATTGCAGTAACTGCCCTTCGTTTGCATACATTCCAGAGTTTCCTCCTTTGAATCCACTTCAGTGGGTTTTGCAATTGGGACAAATGGCTTAGTCGTTCATCCAGTTGTTGGGGCTTTTAGGCGTGGTTGATTCACAGAGATTACTGTTTGCTGGGTTTCCTGCCTTGTCATTGTTTCTTTGTTCACTGTCTGACCTTTTGTTTTGAATAACCTTAAATATCTCCTTGAAAATCAGCCAGACAGCTTTCCATCTGAATTGAAAAAGAACCCTCAGCATTTAGAGCAAGTATGTTTAGTAACACACCAAATGCCTGCCTGTAAGGTGTGTTTTGCTGCTTTTCAGGCAGCAGCAAACATTCTGTAGTTCTAAGTCAATGGGAATTGACTGCAATTCATAATGGCAATATTTTTCCTGTGAACTGATAGTCCAGCACTGTCATTACAGTGCCAGATGCAACTTTCTTGCAACATGAAGCTCAAACATGCAATTTGAAGGAGTGTTTATGCTGGTTATAGCCTAAGTGGTGCTTGAGTTTCTGCACCTTGTACATGAAGATGGAGCGTGACTCATCCCTTTTGTCTGTTGCTGCATCCCACTTGTCCTTGATGCACGTGATGGCACTCTGAAAGGAAACTCACCAGCTCTCATCGAGATGAGCCACTGGTCTGATACGATGGGCATTTATTTTCTTAGAAACAAATATGGTGATCACAAAATCATAGCATGCTTTGGGTTGGAAGGGACATTAAAGATCATCTAGCTCCAATCCAATAAGACATGGGCAGGGACACCTTCCACTAGATCAGATTGCTCAAAGCCCCATCCAACCTGGACTTGAACACTTCCAAGGATGGGGCATCCACAGCTTCTTTGGGCAGCCAGTGCCTCACTACCCTGACAGGAAAGGATTTCTTCCTAATAGCTAATCAAAACCAGCCCTTCTTCATTTTGGAGCCACTGCCCTTTGTTCTGTCACTACATGCATACATACGTCCTCTCCACTTACCATCTAAAGATGAAAACATTACAGTTAAAAATTCCTAAATTCACCATGATCAGTCACTCACACCCTAAGCCAGACAACTGACAGGCGACAAACTGATGCTCTTTGAGAGTAATCAAGAGAAGCAAGGTCCAAGTGCCCACACAGCACAGGTTCTCTTCTAAAAGCTGCCAGCAAGCTCTGGCGCTGTGTTTTTTTAATTCTGTTCATGCATGTTTCCACTCTGCACCTCTACGTGTGCTCTACACATGTAGAAGGCAGAAAACGTTCTGCTGTGTCCTGTTTGTTCATCAAAACTTCTTGCATGTACCAAGACAAATTTACAACCTATTCTTCTCCCAGACAACCAGCAACAGGACGAGAGGACAATCTTTAGCTATGTCAAGGGAGGTTTAGGCTGGGCATTAGAATTTCTCCACAGAAGGGGTGATTAGACATTGGAAAGATCTGCCCAGGGAGGTGGTGGAGTCACTGTTCCTGGAGCTGTTTAAAGAAACACGGGATGTGGCACTCAGTGGTCTATTCTCATGGTCTATTGACATGGTGTTCAGTCACGGGTTGGACTCGATGATCCTAGAGGTCTTTTCCAACCGAACAGATTCCGTGATACACAAAACGACTAACGTTTAACGCAGTCCATCAGCCTCCAGAAGGACGGACAGTAAAGCGAGCCCCAGCAGAGGGGACACCCGCTCAGGCCGGAGAAGA